TGACTGTGAACATGGATAAAAATGTAGGTAATAAAGCTAGATTTTTATTAAAACATAGCTATTGCTTAACAGTTGATTGCCAGAAATGCAATTTATTTTTAATCTAGAAGTGGAAACTTGCATTTTGCTAATAGTTTCATGTTAGCCTTTGGACAAGGCCTGACAAACTGCTGTGCTTAGATAGATGCTCCCATGTAGGATGATGGACAGTATGTTCCCTTTCTGGAAAGATGGCATACAGTGCAACTCCAAAAGGCTCAAGGACCTAGTATTTCCCTTTAAGTTACAGCTATTCCATTTTTATAAACCCACAGGTTATTTTCAGTCATTTGTGTTTTGATGAAATAATGATTAGTTTCACTTAATGTTTATTCTTCACAAAGTAAATTGGTTTTCAACCACATGTCATACTTTTCTTGAGTTGCCAGCTGTCTACCGGCAATCATGCGGGGACTGGGAGGTGCAGAACCTCATGTGAACAGTGTCTAGCAATGCCAGATGATTTCTGGGTGTTTAACTGGATGTGATGTCTCCACATTGCCAGACACTCTAGGATTTCCCTGAAATTCTATGGCAAAACCATAGACTTTGGGAGAAATGCTAGGGCTTCTGGTGACACAGTGACATCACTTCCATTTACACAGCTAGAGATGATGTTTTGTCAATGCTGGATCTCCCCCCCCTTCCCCATCAGTATGTTGAATGATGGCAGGGAATGGGGGTGCTTCGGTAGGGATTTGCCTGCTAAAAGCAGACAAATGACACCTCTATACTTTTCTGTTGCCAAGTCATTGTGCATGGCAAGGCTCAGTCAGTTTCTAGAAATGTGACTTGGTGTTCTGTCATTTCACCATGGAGCTTGAAGACTGCCCACTATGTCCTTTCATCAAAGGCTCTGAATAATTAGCTGGGTGGATCAAAGAAGGTAAATATGATATGTTATGAGCCATAGATTAATTTATTTTGATAACAAAATTGTTTGATAGAGAGGGTTTTGAGTAATAACTATGAAGTGAAATGGGGGGGGAAAGGATGTTATTTTTATTTTGTGACTTTTATAACTAATAGACAACTCTGTTCTTAGATTTACTTATTCCTCTCTCTGTGTGTATGTGTATTAAACAAACAGCTGAATTTATTAGCACAATAATTACTAATGGCTTTGTATTCTGTGAAGGGGATAAGGAGATAACAGGTGAGAATCATATGTCTGGATGTTGCTGCAGCCCATACCTTCAGGTGCTTGATTCCATCCTCCAAGGGTGAATGAAAGAGAATGTTCCTATGCAGAAGCTCCTGTCTTCTCAGCAAGTTCTATTATCAGTTTCCCACCACCCCCATTGTCTAAGGCACATTCTTCTGTGGTCCAGGCTTAGGCTGCCCCATGCCTCTAGAACAGCCTCCTTGAAAATTAAATATTTGTTTGCCTTCTTTCCACCCAGCTAGAGCCATCAAGGCAGTGAACAATTAAACTCAATTTTTAAAACTCAAATTTTAACTCAAATTTTAAAAACATAACATAAAAACCAGCGATTTAAAACAAACATTAAAATCAGCTTTTTAAAACATATATGTGTGTGTATGTGTGTGTGTGTGTGTGATTATGTATATATAATCATCAATTAAAAAGCAAGAAAGGGGGGTCAGTTAGACAATGCCAGACAAAACAGAAGAGTCTTTACCCATTGGTGGGAGACTGTAATTGAGGGTGGGAGATGGATCTCCTTGGTGTGGGGTTGCCAGGTCTCCATCTATAGCGGAGGATCTCCCAATGGTAGCTGCCACCTGCTCTCACCAGCCAGCAGGCTGGGGCAAATGGTAAGGCAAAGACAGATGTTATGTTACGATAGGAATGTGAAATGAATCTGATATTGGAAGGATGAGGCTATATTTAGTATTTGCTGTGGCCCTCCCTTGGGAGGAGTGAGCTAAGTGAATAATTTTCATTGTAGAGAGTGGTTTCCTTTACATACAATGCAGAAGGGTAGGGGAGTGAGTGGTGGGATATTGTTTCTTTGGTGGAGTTGTGATTTTAATCTTTTTATATTGTGTCGTATGTTCTATATTTAGAGCTTATTTAGGGGTTGGTATAAGCACAACTGTAAACCACTTTGAGCCAACAGAATAGAACAGATTAATAAAGAAAGAATGATTCCATCCTCCATCCTCCATAGACCAAACTATATGAACAAGACCACAAAGAAGTTTAAGAATAAATTTCTGGTATTCACAGGTTTTATACCTGGAGACTGGGATTATTTATTTATAGTCCACTTTTCTCACTGAAATTCAAAGTGGATGACACAGTGTTAATCAATAACAGTTCAGACAAAGAGACATAAGTGCAGTGTAGGTCAATAGAATTAATGGGAGGAGACATAAAATAAGCAGCATACTGGGACCAGGATTATCAAAATCGGAGTGAGCACAATATATTAGGCATGATTCAGAATGTGGATATCATCAATAGAAAACAAAGAAATGACTGAAGAAAATGCTAGGGGAGAGTTTACATGTGTCACAGAACGGGGTTTATTATTTTTCCACAGCTTTCTGTCTATACCATTGATTCCCAATCTATGCTTCTTAGTTTTAAACATATATTGCATACCAGTATCTTATCTCACAGTTCCATTTGCTGATTCCTTCAATATGCTGAAATATACAAAGTATACAAGAAGAGGCCCACAGTGACTTGTGGGGCAGGAGAAATCCCATTACCCACATTTTCTTCCCACTTCCCCATATCTTGCCCCCCAACCCCTCCTATCACCACCACCATCACACAGCAAAAAAGGATTCTTTGGTTATGTTTGGAGCAAGAGAAAGAAAAGGAAGTGGTAGGCCCACTGTGGGGAGAGGAAAGTGGAATTTTAATAGGTGATGTAGAGAGGGCAGAACTGCTCATTTCCTCTTCTCTTGGAAGGGAAACAGTGCTCAATATGACAAAAAGAGAACAAATGTGGAAGGAAAAGAGTTGTACCCTAAGATAGGGTACATAAACAGCTAGCTTCTTTAAATGAGGAGTTGTACCCTAAGATAGGCACAGGGCTGGTACATAAACAGCTAGCTTCTTTAAATGAAATCAGGCCCTCAGGGCCAGATGAATTTATTTATTTATTTATTGTTTCGACTTACTACCCCGCTCTAATCCCCGAAGGGGTCTCTGAGCGGCTACAGTTACACATTATCCCTAACCTATGGCCACACTTTTTTCCGGGAGTGGGGACAATCCCTACCGGCACCCAGTGGTGCATCTGAAATTGCATCTGAAAGTACTAAAGGAATTTGTTGATGTAACTTCAGCTCCTCTGCCCATCATTTTTGAGAATTCTTGGAGAACAGGTGAGGTGCCAGAAGAGTGGAGGCAGGCAAATGTTGTCCCCATCTTCAAGAAGAAAAAAAGAAGGGAAAGGGGAATAGAGGAGATAATCATCAAACTTGCAGCAAATTTACAGTAGAAGACAGAATCAAGATTTAGGATGTTCTTGATAGGCTTGATGTTGTTGTTGTTCAGTCGCACAGTCGAGTCCAACAGAGATAAATGTAAAGTTCTATGTTTAGGTTGTGAAAAAATAAAATGCATAATTATAGGATGATGGAGACTTGTCTTGGGCAGTAGTGCATGCAAGAAGGATCTAGGGGTCTTAGTAGATCATACACTGGAGTCAGCAGTGTGATGAGGTAGCTAAAAAGGCAAATGCAATATTGGGCTGCATCAACAGAAGTGTAGTGTCCAGATCATGCAAAGTAATGGTATCACTTTACTTTGCTCCAGTTACACCTCTTTTGGAGTACTGTGTTCAGTTTTGGGCACCACAGAGTAAGAAGGATATTGACAAGCTGGAATGTGTCCACAGGAATGCAACAAAGATGGTGAGGGATCTAGGAGACAAGTCCTGTGTGGAAATGTTTAAGGAGCTGTGTATGTATAGCTTTGAGAGGAGACACCTGAGAGGTGATATGATAGCCATCTTCAAGTATTTCAAGGGTTTTTATATAAAGGATGGAGTGGAGTCATTTTCTGTTGTCTCAGAAGGTCGAACCAGAACCAATGGATTGAAATTAAATCAAACGTTCTTGGCTAAACATCAGGAAGAACTTCCTGACAGAGTGTTTCCTCAGTAGAACTGGCTTCTTCAGTTAAAAAAAAAATTTAAAAAAAAAGAACTGGCTTCTTCAGGAGGTGGTCAACTCTCCTTCTTTGGAAGCTTTTAAGCAGAGGCAAGATGGCCATCTGGAAACTGGAAATGTTCAATTTACATCCCAATTCCAAAAAAAGAAGACATCAAAGACTGCAGCAACTATTGGACTATTGCATTAATTTGGCACACGAGTAAAGTGATGCTCAAAATCTTACAGCAAAGATTATTACTGTATATGGAAAGTGAAATACCAGATGTTCAAGCTGGATTCAGAGAAGGAAGAGGCACTAGAGATCATATTGCAAATTTATGTTGAATATTCGAGCATACAAGAGAATTTCAGGAGAAAATTGGCTTGTGTTTTATAGATTGCAGCAAGTTAAATCTCTTCAAGATTAATTTCCTTAATTCTGGTAGACAACTTTCATTCAAGGTGGTCGGATGTATGTTCACGGCAAATCATACATGCAGCTACATTTGTGCAGACATGTCTAAACAATTTCTACTCAGCTGCTCATTCATCTGAGCCATGTTCAGGGGGCAGTAGCTCCCATCACATGCCTCTTTCCTCCCTCAGGGTTAGTTTGTGCATCTGTGCACCATCCTAAAAGGGCAGAGGGTGGTGTAACTCAGTGGCAGGGCATTAGTTATAGCATGGTCATAGGTCATGTTTTGGTTGTTTATTTTTATTGTTTCTTACTGACTTTTTGTTTTTGTTTTAGTGTTGTGACCCACCTCAAGCTGGTCTTGAGAGGTAGCATACAAATTTTCTAAATAAATAAATGTGCCATCTTGCAAATAAATCCTGCAGCCTCTGCCTTGAAGTTGCTGAAATCTTTCCCTTCTTGTATTCAGAATTTGCAATGATGAGGTGGATTATGGAGCAATGACCATACAGAAAGCCATACAACTCCTGTGTTCCTCAGATGAGAAGTACCAGGCCATGGGTGGTTACTACCTCCAGCATACCTGCTTTCAAGATGAATCTGCCAAGCAAGAGGTAAGATTATTCCTTATAATGATGCTTCACTTTTGTTTTTTTCTTTTTGGGTTTTGGGGTTTGTTTGTTTGTTTGTATTTTTTATGTGCAGGTGTGTGTGTGCGTGCGCGTGTGACTGTGTGTGCACCTGGAAGTCATGGCGACCTCCGGTGACTGACCTCTACAGGGGGGCTGGAGGATATTCAGAGAGGTGGCCTAATAAAGCTTACCCCCGCCTCCTGACTGCTGGTGTTCCAAGAAGGTCTCCCATCCGAGTACTTGCCAGAGTTGATGCTGCTTAGCTTCCAAGATCTGACAAGATTGGGCTTGTCTGGGCTATCCAGGTCAGGGCTGGTGCTTCACTTTTGTGTAGCTTTATGCTAAATGCTTAACTAGAACTTTAACGGAACTTGTGGCCCCAGTAGAAGAAAGGGTAAGTCACATTGGAAGAGAGAGGTTAGAAGCTGTTCATTCCACACTGAAAGGCAGTGATAACATTCTGGTGCTGTTGAGTCCACAACTGAAATGAATGAATCAGTAAATGCAGGTTGCAGTAGAGAATCAGACCACTGATCCATCTATCTCAGTACTGCTTTGACTAACAGTGGCTTTTAAGATCTGCTACAGAGATCCTTTTAACCAGGAACACCAGGAATTGAACCTGAGACCTTCTTTATACAAAGTATGTGCTCTGTCACTGAGATGTGGTCGTATCCCAATTTCATACTCATACATTATGCAAAACAGAATTATGCATCTCTGAGTTCCGCACAGAACTCAGAGATGCATAATTCTGTTTTGCATAATGTATGAGTATGAAATTGGGAAACGACCACATCTCCAGGAAAGTTCTGCACAGAACTCAGGGAAACCAAAGTTTTACAGAAAACTCTAAAATGATTTTTAAAATAACACCAAAAAATAGCTAGGAAGCCTGTGTACACATTTATATGAAAAAAAACTGCCCATTGTAAATCCATAGCAACCAAAACAAGGAATCTGCACATGTGCTTAGCACAGAGCTCCCAGATATACTGGCCAGGATGAAGAGGATAAGGAGGAGGGCACAGCAGTAATGGTAAGCAGTGGAAGGGAGTTTGGTGACATCAGTTGTGGATAAAGACGACAATGATCAATAGGAAGAGGGAAAGTAAGGAGGAAGAGAAGTAAGGTATTGTGGAAGAATTCTCTGTCCCACAATATCTTGCAAGTCTCTCACAAGAAAAAGAATAAGTATATATAAAGCCCTTTTTAGGGTTCCGCAAACATGATTGTGGTACACCCCTATAAAGCAGGCCAACATTGCTGTCATCTCCATATTGCAGGGGACCTCCCAGAACATAGGTCATTAGCCACCATACTACACTAGTTCTGTATGTGTTCACAATAGTTCAGATAAACAAAAACTAAAACTGTGCTATGAAAGTGTATGTTATGCCTGAAACGCAGATAATTCTGAGCAAATTCCTTGAGCATATTTTAGCAGATCTCAGTAAATGACAAATCCATTCACACATGAATGTTCTGTTCTGTATAGTGCTGTTCACTATCAGATATCATTTATGTCAGAAACTATACACAAAGTCTTTTAAAGTCACTGGCTCACACTAAGAGCTTGTCTCTTCAGCCAACCAACACAGTTTGTAGAGACATACCCAGACTTTTTACATCATATATCTAATTTCCTGGGAAAGGCCAGGATTCTCCCCCTGCCTCTTAGGTCCTTTCTGCACTTGAATCTCATCCCTGGTTTTATCAGAGTTCAACTCACAACACAATACCTTGCATTTATCTCTGGTTACAACAGCAGCCGTTTATCCCAGGACAAGTGTGGGGCAAAACCGGGGTGAACTCAGTGTAATGTGGAAACAAAAAATATCCCAAGATAATTACAGAGGGGAACTTGAGTATAGTGTAGAATGTAAAAATACCCCAAGATATTTAAAGGGGTGAACTCACGTGTAGTGTAGAATGTAAGGTCAGGGACAGGGTTGAACCAGGATTTAAGGTCTAGTGCGGAAAGGACCTTACTGACAGAAACCTGGGCTTGAAGGCTGGCAATAATGTTATGGTTGCCTAGCAATGGCCACTGAGGGCATTCGTTTCGTAAAACTACTGGTGCAGCTTCTATTATTTTGGAGGGCTTAAAAACATTTTTTAAAGATTTCAGTTGTTCTTACAAAGCTGGGGCTTTTCTCAGGTTTGTAGAAAGATGTGTCTGTTCGTGGCTCCAATCTCTGGAATTAAGTATCCACAGATCTGGCCACATGGAAAATTAGATACTGATGATATTTTCAAGAACTTAACTAGTCTACTTAGCATCTCGCTTGGGATAACTGTGAGTACTTTGTCATGTATTTGTTTCTATACATATAAAGATAGCTGCTTAACACAAACAGGAAATGAGCAGATGTTGTCTGCACACCATTTCATGTATTACACATAGGCTTTCCTGCTTTACTTCTCACCTTCCTAAATAGTATTATACAAATAGCATAAAACCATGCAGACTGAGGTGTGTCTAGATCAGACTTTTTGAATAAGCTACAGCAAAATGGGTAACCTTAAAGAAAAAAAGTTTTCAAGGAAACAGTATAAAAAGTATATAAGAAAATAGATAAATATAAGTTAGCTAATACTGACTTCAATAGATACGGAAAAAAAGCAATATCAGGCCAGCGATTTGTATTACAATGTTTTCAAAGAAGCTATTCCATTGACGATTTTTTACTAAAAGAAACAACAGTGCATCTTGGAAGCTGTATGCTAATTTTTATTTGTAGAAAAGGACAGCTGAGTTTTATGAGTGGCTTGGATCAGAGGGTACTTCATGATTTTCTCTTGCAGGTCTACCGACTTAGTGGCATTGCCAAACTTGTTGAACTCCTCCGCAGTCCAGATGAAAATGTGCAGCAAGCTGCAGCAGGGGCCCTTCGAAACTTAGTCTTCAGAAATCCAACCAACAAGTTAGAAACCCGACGGCAGAATGGAATTCGAGAGTGTGTAAGCCTCCTGAGAAGAACTGGAAACACAGAAATACAGAAACAATTGACAGGTACCTGCACCCATTTAGAACAATGTAAAAGCAACTGAGTGAATGAATGACTCTGAAGATATATATCAGTGGAGGTGTTTTAATGAGATCTGGGGCATCTGAAGACCTTAAAGCAAGGGGGGAAATGTTAGGGTTACCAGCAGAAGAAAGGATTTTCAAGTGGTTAATCATATCCTTTAGCAGATCAATCAATAAATCAAATGCATATTAACAAACCTCAATATATGTACCTTTTTGATTTGTTGGAGGAACTAGAAGATAAGTATTTATGTACTTATGTAATTTATTTATATTCTGCTTTCCTTCCCAATGAGGGCCCTTGATGACTCATTGGGGGGGGATCAACAAAAACAGGAAAAGGGAAGGAACCTTCTGAATGCTAAGCCGGTCTTCCTCTCCCTGCTAGCCAATGTTCTTCCCAGCTCTAGGCTACAACCCTCAGGCTAAGAGCCAAGGCCAAGACTCCTTCAGCTCACAACTCTGGGTTCCCCCAAAACCTTAAGTACCTGTGAGCAGAGCAGAGGAAAACAAATTCAGTGAGGTGTTATTCAGTGGCTGCTAGCTAGCAGGATCTTCCCAAGTTCCTCCCTTTCCAGGAAACTATTTTAAGGAAAGTCTATCTTTCATATTTGGACTGTATTTCCATTTAAATGTATGCAGTTATATGGAACACTGCTAAAACAGAGTGATGGTAGGATTTCATATAGACATGTGTGAAACCCTATGGAATTTTGTATTCTGCCTCCATGCACTTTGAATAGCCTCAGAAAGTCTCTAGAACATCTCAAATATCCTCACTTTTTTGGGGGGAAACTTTGGTTCATGTTTTTTTTTCCTGATAAATAAGATATAACTGAACATAAGAAAAGTTTGGGCTATTTGTTTGGATCCAACCAATTTCTTTTTTTTAAGCTGATGGAGAGGTTCCATTTGATCAAACAAGGCCATGCAGGGGTCATGAGCCCTGCATGTACAAAAGCCATGTGAGATGAGGACAGTAGAAATGAGGGGAACTGGGTTAGGCTGAGTGAAAAATCTGGCTGAATCCAACCCATTGTCTATACCAAATAACAGTGTCAGCATTAAACACATATGAAGCTGTGTTATTGTTGGTGTTAGAATGTTGGTCTATCAAGGTCAGTATCTTTGTTTTCTCTTTCTTTTGGTGAGTATTTCCAAGTTTTTGCCAGGGTCAGCCCTGCTTAGCTTCCAAAATCTGACAAGATCAGGCTTGCCTGGGCTATCCAGGTCAGGGCTATCCAGGTCAGTATTGTCTATTCAGACTGGCAGTAGTTGTCTAGGATCTCAGGCAGGGGTTTTTCACATCACCTACTATCTGATCCTTTCAGCTGGTAATGCCAGGGATTTAACATGTGCCTTCTGCTTACAAAGCTGATGTTCTATCACTGAGCCACAGCCTCACGCCTTAAAACTGAACCAGGAAGATTATCACAGCTTCCCTAATTTAACTTGTAGTTTGCACTGTCTTTGTGTGTCTTCCTCTTCCTTTAAATTCCTGTCCAACACACTATTGTAACAAAGGTTTTCCTGAACCTTCCTACCATCCCTTCTTTCCTCCATAATTCTTCCTCACTATTTACTTTCTTTCTTTCTTTAATGAATCCATTCTTATAGCCCAGTGGCTTTGAACAGCTCACACTGATTAGCCAGATAAATTAAAATCCACTAAATATCAACCCTCCCATTTTTATGTTTAATAACAATCAACAAAATTTTTACTACTGCCAGGGTAGTTTTAACTTTTGTTCTGGCCAATAATTTAAGAATCCACCCACTATTTCCTGTAAATTCTTAATCTCTTGTATTCATTTTCTTACCCTTTAATGGAGATTCTAAAGCATTTGAAGCAAGAGTCTGCAGGTTTTCTGCTACACATAGCTTTTGGTTAATGCTATATCAATCATGAATAGTTGCAAAAATTATGATAACTTTGCTACCAATTGAAAAATGAAGCCCACTTATTAACCAGTCTTCTAGCTACAGTATTGTCCTACCATCTAGTAGAACTGGATCTTGAATTACTCAGGTTTAGGTTTTAGCCAAACTCGAATTGTTTTCTTGTGTTCTTTTGTATATTCTCTCTAAATATGTTTTCAAGAGCTGGTGCCATCTAGAACAGTAGAGAGTAGCTACCCCGGTGCATACTATATCTATTTTTGCAGGCAATCTCTGAAGAAGTTGATCTGTTTGGCTTGTCACTATCCAAGTTAAACACCTGTGCAGTAGCTGTGGGACTAGAGCTCACATCAGGTTGTATGAGACTCTACCTGTGTGAAACACAGCCAGTTGCTCTGTACTGTATTGCACTGAACCAGGCTCAAACCGCTCATACACAGCCAAACGATCCATGAAAAGTTGCCTCACTTTCATGGTGAACAGAAAATGAGCTGAATTGGCAGGCATTTGAGTATCCTTGCTCCTGATATCAGCTTCACTGGTAGGATAGACTGATTAAACTAAGTCTAAATAGTAGGAGCCTGAATTTGTTGATGTCATTTCAGTCTATTGTTATCAGTTTCTCTCCTTAACATTTCCAGCTTCATTTGCCCTTCTGTGCTCTCCTCCTAGTGTCTGTTTATTTTCCTAACCTCTGTCTGTTTTCCTCTGATAAAAGTTAAATACACAGTATAAAGTATGAACCACAAAATAGAAACTGTGTAAAATTCCTCTAGCTGTAACTTATAAAGAATGCTTGATAAATACTTTCAAAAATCAACAAAATGTGTAATTAATTATTTAGAAATATTATACTTTCACACACAAGGGGAAACAATAACATGAACAGGAAATCAATCCACAACAGAGTTTGTTGGAGCCTGTCACAAAATAACCGACTAAAATATTTGTCCGTGCATTCACCCAAGATCATGCCAATATGGAGCGATCCAACAATCTACGTTCAATGTTGGATATTGACTTGCTGGTGGTCTCTGATTATGACGGTCCCAGCCTCTAACAGGCGAGCTAGCTATTATTAACTGTGTTTCACCAAGGCTTCCTCTAAGTTGGAACCGCTTTCCAAAAGGCATCAGTAACATTCTGTGTGTGAAATCAGGAAAAATACTTCTCAAAGCACTTACGCTGCAAAAAAACTTTCCATTCAACAGTGCTGTCATTGGAAAGGGTTTTTTGCAGCATAAGTTCTTTAAGAAGCATTTTTCCAGATAGATGATAGATTTATTTATTTATTAGTGCACTTCTACCCTGCTCTCCCCGTGGGCTCAGGGCGGCTCACAACAGGGCACCATGTGTCGACACATAAAAACAGGATAAAACAATCACATATCAACCAATAAAGTGCTCAGTAATTTCAATCTATCAGTTAAGCAAGATGGTATCCCCAAGATGTTACATACCAATGTCAGTCCTTCACTAGAGGTGGATAATGTTCCATAGATGTTGCTCGTCCCCATCCAGCGGAACCAATCTGCAGCAATACCGTGATTTAATCTTCATAGGGCTGTCCCCTTACCCCGTTGTTACCAATACAATTGGTGGTGGTGATAGTGGTAGTGGCGGCTCCTAATCAAAGGCCTGGCAGAAGAGCTCCATCTTGCAGGCCCTGCAGAACTGTGAGAGGTCCCGCAGGGCCCTGATCTCCTCCGGGAGCTCATTCTACCAGGTAGGAGCCACCACTGAAAAGGACCTAGCCCTAGTTGCAGCAAGCCTGGCCTCCCTATGTTGACGATGTTGAGTCCCAGACTGAAGTGCTCTTCGGGGTATATGTGGGGAAAGGCAGTCCCTCAGGTATGTCAGACCCTGGCCATATAGGGCTTTAAAGATAAGTACCAGCACTTTGAAGTGAATCCAGTATGCTATTGGCAGCCAGTGCAGTGCTTTCAGCACAGGCCAGATATGCTCCCATCTAGGGAGGCCCATCAACAGCCCGGCCGCAGTATTCTGCACTAGCTGCAGCTTCCGGATTTGCAACAAAGGCAGCCCCATGTAGAGAGCGTTACAGTAGTTTAACCTCGAGGTGACCATCACGTGGATCACTGTAGCCAGGTCATCGTGGTCGAGGAAAGGAACCAACTGCCGAAGCAGCCGAAATGGTAAAAGGCCGATTTGGCAGTGGCTGCCCCCTGGGCCTCCATGGTTAAGGAGGGATCCAGGAGCACTCCCAAACTCCTATCCTCCAATGCTGGCACCAAAGGTGCCCCATCGAAGGTTGGAAAAGGGATCCCCAACCCCGGACCGACCTGACTCAAGCACAGGACCTCTGACTTTGCTGGGTTTAATTTCAGCCGGCTCAACCTGAGCCACCCAGCCACGGCCTGCAAAGCCCAGTACAGATCTTCTGGGTCAGAGTCCAACCAGCCGCCCAATATCAGATAGATGATAGATAGATATGAGATCCCATATGTGAGTATGTGTCTTTTTGTGAAGCATAGAACTTGTGTATGGAATCTGGGCCAGGAACACAAGATTCTGTGACTGGCTAAAGTAGGCAGATAGAACTTCAAAGTGTGTATATGTTTGAAAGAACAATGGTAAAATAAGTAAACCTGTCTTTTAACATGCTTAAAAATTGGATACTAAAAAATTGGACACAAATCCCTCCTTCCTGTGTGAAAAAAAAGATTGTATCAACAAAAAGGGGGGATCCCTAATATTAGAGCATATTAAGTAGCCAAATTAACATCTCTAGTGGAACTGGCACACCCTAATGTCTTTTTGGATGCAGAACAGAACATTCTAAACTGTGACATACCCAAGATTATTTGGTTTTAAGAGAGGGCTTGGAGAATGAAATATATAAATTTCTATCTGTCTTTTCTCTTCTAAATACTTTATATAAACTTAAATCAAAAGTAGCCCTGGGACAGTCTGAATTATTATCCTTTTATATAATGATCAGCTTCAGCTGGGGTCAGAACACATGTCTACTTTTAAACTTCAGAAGAATGCTACTTAACACATTTTTAGAAAATGTGTAGCTAAGGGATTTGCACTGGTTTAATGATGAAGTAGTGGGTAGAATGGGAGACATTAGATAATTTAAAAAAATATTTACAGCTTAAGGATGTGTTTTGCGTTGGAGATGACATGGGCCTTTATGAGATAAAATTCTCTTTGGAAAAAAATAATGGAATCTGTTGTGATGAAAATTTAAGAAGCAGAGTTTATGAGTGGCTGACAAGTCTAGATAACACAATTGATTTTGTTAGAAAACTTGGGAAAGGTTTGGCTTTTACTATTCCTGC